TTAATCCGTTAACATGAGCGCGGAAAAAATACGCACCACATATGCACTGCAAACGGAGTAATGTGAACCTGGCATTATGTGTGTGCGCTGCGAGTGTGCATGAGCGCTCGGTCTCCAGTCTCCGGTCGAGCGCTGAATGGTTAAACACTGGCAAGAATTAAAAAGTAATGCAATTTATAAACTTTAGTGACGATGTGACACTGCCTCGATTGTGCAAGTGACAATTCCTGTGTCAACTGTGCAGTGTGCAGCTCGCTTATAGACAGACGCGATGTGTGGTGATTTGAAGCCATTTGCGTATTTTGAGAGAGAAGGAGAGAGCGCACCTCACCTTCAGCATTATAATTATTTCACCCGCGCTGGACAGAGACTGAGACAGTGCTGCTGCATGTCGTGCCAAACCTCTCACGGCAGCGTCATCAGCTTGAGATCGGTCTTTTTAGAGACCGCCGATCAAACATCCCAATGTGATTATCGGCTGATAGTGATTGGTAGCTGATCAATCGGAGCACCCCTAATTTAAGTTGCAGTCATATTTACAGTTGTTCTGCAAATTTCATGGGCAAAATCTAGTCACTTCAAAAGGAATCCATTTGTTTAGGAATTTTCGGCCAAAGATTTCCACACATAGAATCTGGAATGCAAAATCACAATTTTGCCCACAGAATTTTGCAGACATTTCACTAATGTAACTGCACTTTTAGACTTTCATTCTTCAACAGTTGTGGAAACGTCATTTTGTTTTTGGTAAATTGTTTTCTCCTCACAGCAGACTATCCATATGGAAACCACAGTGGATGGGGAGGAGCGTCGTACCCTCAGCACCAGAGCATTAACTCTCAGGGACACTTCAGCGAGCGGTACTGAACTTTGCCTTTTACACTTCCAGAACAGAACAAGAAAAGATGCATCATGGCAATACTAGATATTTTCAATTAAAATATAATTGAGTTGTTTTTCCGTGTTTTTGCCAGTCTGCCAGTGTCTGCCCCTGACCGCGAGCAGCTCAAGATTGAGCTCCAGCAAGTCAACCAACAGATCAGTCAGCAGACACGCGGCATGGAGGTGTGTATGAAATCTCCATCCAAATTCATGACTCACAACGTGTACAGCCTTATATTCATGTATTCTTATTCATATAGTCTTATATTCAGTAGTATTAACAAACCTCTCGCGTGCACACACAGGCGTGTGCGCTGGCATCTCAGCCTGCGGCTGGAGTGAAGTGGTCTTCAGGTGGCACTGTGTCTAGTGAGCAGCTCAGCCTGGAGCTTGATCACGTAGAGCTGGAGATCAAAAAGAGAACCCGTGAAATCACCATTGTGAGTCAAACGGCCACCGATAGTGATTTATTTTCCTTGTGAGGTTATTTTTTTGTACAAGTGTTCATATATTCTCATATGACTAGTCTAAGCTAATTGAACATGTTCCTATGATTGAAGGAGAACCAGGTGGCCCATGAATACAAGCTGAAGGCCGCTGAGAATGGGCAGACTGACCATAAAGCCCAGCTGGAGGAACTCTCTTTAGCATTGGGGTGAGTGGGGAAAGAGGCCATTCACACACAACACGGTTTTGCATTTTATTACGCTACTTTTCCATTGTTTTTCTCTATAAACATGCACTAGACCAGGGGTGTCCAAACCTGCTCCTGGAGGGCCACTGTCCTGCAGAGTTTAGCTCCAACCCTGATTAAACACACCTGAACCAGCCTTCCAAGGTCTTCAGACTGACTAGAAACAGAGAGTGCGGCTCAGTCAGCTCCTTAGTTCAGTGATCAGGGAGCCGGCCAATTTAAGGGCTTTCAATCGTGAAATACTTCCAGTTAACTGGAATGTTCACTCCCTGAAAAATCCCACAATGCACTGCAAAAACTATGGAGCACTAATTACTTACTATGCTCTCTTACCAGAAATTACATCACATGAAACAAAACACACAAGCCAACTGAAATATAATGAGATAGAAGGTTTGAAAAGACAGAAAAAAAAAATGACAGTTTAATTTTTTAATTTCACTGCCCTCTCACATTTCTATATGCAAAAGTGCATTCTGTCTGAACGGCCCCTAACAAACAAATGCTTTTCCTCTAAAGAACTGGCAGATATCTAATTAGACTAAATGTCACCTTAAAGGACTCAGTCCTGTTGAGTACTGTTAGAAGTTATGTTCATATGTGAATATTTCCATTTTGCACAACTGGTATTACACCACTTTTATTTGTAATGCATCATGTATCAAAGTTTGTCTACATAAGCGCAGACTCTGGAAGTAAAATAAACTTGAGTACATTCATGTAAACTTAAATGTGAATTGAATTAAGAGCTGTTGATTAATTCACTGGCAGTTTAGTTAGCTAAATTAGCTGAATTAAAAAAAAAAGTTTAATTTAGTTAGCTGAACTGAAGCCTGATTTTAATTCATTTAATTTATCACCCAAATAGTCGATTAATCTTTCTAATAATGGTTAGATTAGTCAATTATCAAAATATTCGTTATTAGCCTGTATATTTAAAATTTAAAATTAATTATATAATATAATGTAGTAATTAATTATGTACACTTAATGTTTAGACAATTTGAGAGAATTACTCAAAATTGAGAATATTTAAGTAATCAAAATGCAGCCCTAGATTGAACCTAGATCTCCATTCTACATCTGTTCACTATTACACTGTGACTTGTTAGTCTTGTTAGGCTCAGCAGTCTATTCCCTCAGGCTACCATCAGCAAAGACCTAAAACAGCCCCTTTTGTTGTCTGTGTTCATGTTGCTCTGTTAGCCAGTAGGCATGTTTGAATAATGTTTCCACAAAATACACTCCTCTCTCTGAATGTTCTCCTCTTCTTTCCATCAGTGAGGTGTCTAATGGATCCAGTGGCATGAAGCCAGCCAGTAGTATGGGTGGATCTATGCTCTCGCTGACCAATAAGACGTCTTCTCTCACGCTCTGCTCCGCTGACCAAGCAGCGAGTAGCTCAGACCTTCAAAAGAATGGTGTTGTTCACTCTTGCTCTTGAGTGCACACACACACACACACACACAGACAGACAACCTCTCCAGAGGTCAATATTCCTTCTCAGAGGGCTTTGAAATTAATCTCTTGACTAATTCGAACCAGTTTCAAGAGACACAAGATGTGTTTTTAATATTCAGACGGAGCTGATATGAGGGACACACACACACGGAAACCAGGGCATCTGAATAATGCTTACTTTGTTGTTTTCCCTCTATATCAAGAAAGAACAGTCAACCCAAAGCTAGCACAGACAGGATGACACAAACTAGTGGAATCAAAATGAGAATCGAGCGCACTATTTTTAGCATCGGGGCTAGTTGCTGATTGTGCGGTCGGGGCTCTGTGGAAATGTTCAACTCCCTGGATCTCTGCAGCCTTGAATATGATCTGACTCACCAGGTTTAAAGTAGCATGGAGAACTTTTATGAATCCATTTTTATGGACCGTTAAAACGGGTCTCCCCACATGACACACGACCGTGGCAGTGTATCGCTGTAAGGCAATTCGATTGGGCTCTGGATGACACAAGGGGGGAAGAGAGATATATCTATATATAATCAGTTGTCAGGTTTTGTTTAATTTATGGTTTGGCTATATAACTGTTAAGGAATTTGTAAATGTGTGGTGACACGTGTCTAAAGCATTCTGTTTTATAGAATGCAAACGGATGTCTTGAAAAATGAGCACTTTTTTCCATGTTTTCCATGAGTGTGTGCTTTTTAGTAGAAGAGGTGCAACACTTCCCTTGTGTTCTTCAGAGCTCTGTGGTCGGGATGAGATTTGTCTCTCCCAGCGCCACAGTCGTTTTTCGAAAGATTACAGCCTTTTAGGAAATTATTTCATCAGTTTTCCCTAACTTCTGTGAAGTTGCATATTTGGCTCTCCTGGTCGAGTTTGCATATTCGAGTCTAGCCACTAAACCGCTGCGTAGAAGTACACCAGGGCAGTAGTTTCGACAATGCCAGGTCCCATAGCGCTGAACGATCGCGTTACAGTTTTGTACATTGTTAAAGGGATAGTTCAACCAAAAAGGCTAATTCTGTCATGATTCAGTTACCCTTACGAGAGGAGGGGGGCGAACTGTCCCTTTAAATAAAAATCCAGACAGATGTTCATTATAGATAGATAGGTTTCCTCTGTAAAAAAACTCAAAATTAGTTTGGAATCAATTCTTCAGAGATGATTATGAACTTCTGCAGAAACGAGATAAGCAGAATATTCAATGCGACTCATGAATCGAGGCCTGTTGAGTTTATCCTCCATCAGCCTGCTTTGACTTAAAAGGGTTTTTACACAACAAACCCAATGACTGTTTCCAAACGAGGCTCCGTAAATGAAGAGAACAAGATTATTCGAAGTCTGAAGTCTTCCTATAGTGATGACATTCTTCACGTGTGACTTTTTGTTCTAGTCTCTTGAGACCGACTATGATATACAGCTCCAATTTTGGGTGCAACCTCTTAACGTGTAATCTTTTGTGGTTTTTGTGCTATAGCCGTGGTGATATAGTTGATTTCTCTTATTACGATGACTTGTAGTCACGGTCATTATTTGATGTTCTTGCTTGTCAAAGAGCAAACGCAGCCTTTTCAAGCAGTCGCCGAGATTGAAATGGAGCTGTGCCGACGTGCAGAGATGACGTCAACCTTACTATCGAGGTTTAAACCTATCACGTGATGTCCATCGCACTCTGAGGAAATTCTCCAGAATGTCGTCTTTCTCCTTGCTAAATTGTTACCTCCTCCCTCTCCACGACGTGGAAATTGAATTCTCGTAAGTGTTTTTATTTCATGCTGTTGAAGATCCCGTGAACTAGTTAAGGCTTTGCCTAATATGAGATGTGTTGTGTAGCTTATGATTTAGCTGAGCTTCTTGCTTCCCTTCTGGTGAATCTGGCCTCTGACTGGATTTAGAGCTTTCCACATTCTCCTGTGGTTTAATGCTGCTTTGTAGCCCAATAATTCAAGTGACATTCATAAAAACATGTCCAGGTCACATTTCAGCAAGGAATATAAAGGAAAAAAATTTATAGGGCCAATATCAATACTTCAATATATTATATAGTATGCTTTACACAAAAAAGTGACAGATTTTTAGTTAAATCTACTACTACTAGACTTACTAGCATTTTTTTTTAAATACAGCAATTTTTTGTATTCATTTACAATGAATACAAAAAAAGGAACTATACTTTTTCAAGAAAATGTCAATGCAATATAAATACTACTTTGACATTTTTATGAAAATGAAAATTGATTTCATCCCATAATAATTATATGACCTGGGCATGTTCTTGTGAAGTTTTATGAAATTACACTTTCTAGAATTTTCTGTGCCACTTCACCCATCCAATTAGCAATTATGCTCAAAGATCAACTTTCAAAATTAAGTAAACATTTTTCTAAATTGAGGAACGTTACACCAGGAGGATATAATGCGCTCAGTGAATTCCCTTTTATATTCAAACGGGAAACCAAAACAATTGCAAACCGCTTAAAACTGAGCAGGATACGTTTCAATCCAGCGGCTTATCTTGACGTCTCATCGATAGAGGCGTGTGCATAGTTACGTGGCAAAGCTTTTATACGATTTCTGCTTAGGAGTCTGAAAAAAATGTTTCCTCCTCCCTGCAGTTATCCAAATTTTTGCGAGTTAACATGCCGCCGCCACCGCTAACATCGGGTTTTCTTTGGTTCTTGTTAGGCGCTAGCGCTAGCATGACGAGCATTGTGTTTCGCATCGCTAATCGCTGCTACAACAGGCAAACGTTTAGCCAGCGCTCATTTTTTTGTTTGGCTTTCACAGAGTGCCCAAAGCTGTGCTAATGTAAGCATTCTCGAGTGATGCACTGCCAGGATGCTGCTTTTATTTGAATCTTTGGGTTGTATGGGAATCTTGTATTTAATATTTGGCACTTGCTTGGGTGCTGTAGAACGTTTTTTTTTTCCCCCCTGTAATGATCAGTGATCTCACTGAGCTGATTACTTCTGCGTGGATATTTTTCATTTGTTTAACCATCCACACATAGCGACTTATGGGAAACGACTCAGTAAGGCTCATTTACAGTTTTGTGCATGAGGTTATTTTTCCTCAAGTGAGAAATTGCAGGATAATGTGATTTTCTTTGAGAATGGGTCTGTTCCTGATGGATGATATTCATTTCTCTGACTGGATTGTGTCTGTTTTGAACAGACCTGTTGAATTAATTTAAATGAAATGCAAGTTAACTCATTTTGAACCTTATAACACCGTTATGGCTGTCTTTTTTTGTCGTCTAGTTTTATTCCTAACTTTTTGGGAAATGTAATGGCTTTTTTATGATTACTTCCAAGTTGTCTTGTAAAATCTCTTAAATTAAGGTACAGGCTCAATTTCAACAAGGAAAGGTTTTATATATAAATATATATTATACTCCATTAAGGAATGTTTAGAACCATCTTACTCCAATGTGGATGTAGCCATTATTACGCCATTTAATGACTTTGTAAAAGAATTCACTGTGTGAAAATTGGTTTGCATTTTTGTATAATACAATCTGCTTTTTTGTTTGTTTAAAAGGAGAGAGGGAGGTGAAACTGGATGTTAGAGGGCAAGATTTATTTAACAGAAACCTGTTCTATTGAGAAGAAAATGTAACTTGTGTTCAACAATGATTCGCAATGCGAGGGATGGAATAAACAATATTGGTAACACTGCTATAAAGATGTGTGCTGGCTCCATTTTTTTGCTTTTTATTTCAGTCCCAACAGTGCGGTTTCTGAGAACCTCAAACACAGAGCATTACATGAGTGTGTAAAATATAAACGTTGCTAAAGAACAGCATTTCTGGTTTAACCAACAATTTGACACATTTCAGCATAATAGACAATCGATATGAGAACATGTCATGATATTACATCCTTTCAATATCAACTTGATTGTTTACCTGTGGTTTTGTTACTAGTAAGCCTGTCCCTCGTCTGCTCTCCCTACTAATTGGTCTAAATATTAATAGTAACATTACACCAATAACAGTCGCTCAACATGACCAAATACCAGTTTTCAAAAGGCACACGTGTGACCGCAGCATTCAAATCGTGGATTCCTTTCAGAAATAACCTTTGCTTTCACAGTGAGTTCAGGACCTGTCCTTATCCTAAGAACAAACCGCTTGGATTTTGATTGCTAGGTTATCCTTTCCAGATTGGATAAGTGAGATGAATCAGCTTCTGATTGGTGTGTAAACCACTAATTCGGTCCAGGTCTTCTGCTGTTAATGGGAATCCGAAATACCTGTGAAGTAATTATGAAGCTGAAAAATTCAATTAAATCAAAAACCCAAAACCTGTAAATTACCCCAAACACTGAAATTGGTTATTTAAAAGTGTCTTTGAGATCATCCTTGAACTGTAACCTGCTAATATCCCGTACATCAGGGCTGCCCAAACTCGGTCCTGGAGGGCCGGTGTCTTGAAGAGTTTAGCTCCAACCCCAATTAAACACACCTGAACCAGCTAATCAAGCTCTTACTAGGCATACTAGAAACTTAAAGGCAGGTGTGTTGAGGCAAGTTGGGAGCTAAACTCTGCAGGACACCGGCCCTCCAGGACCGAGTTTGGGCACCCCTGTCGTACACAATTACGTTCAGATATGATACCATTTTTGATAATTTTTTGAAATCACAAACTAGAGCGATTGAGCCTCTCGTTGTTTTCCGAGCTCACCTGACCAGGTGGTTTTCTTGGATTTGGTCATTCATTCCACAGGAGTTGGGTCCCAGCTCACATGTCTCCCATCATGCAGCAAACTCAGCGCTGCCATGTCCTGAATCATCCAAGCTGAACCCAAACACCTGCACAGCACAACATTATGAGTGCGGTTTCGAAAGGATGATCTCAAAGAGAAACTAGTGATGGCTTCAATTATGATAAAGTACAAATTGAAAAAAATATATCAGCTTAGACCATAGCTTGACCTGTAAATTGGTACAAACTTCACTATTATTATTATTAGTTTACTATTAAGTAGGGAGAAAATCTGTAGTAACTTGCTATTTTTATTATTATTTTACTTCTGTGGACGTGGTTTAGTAAGTAGTAAAAAGGTGTAGTTACTTGGTAATTGTGCAACATAAAAATTGTTTTGTTGTATTTGTCGACCATCACCTGACCAAAGCGGAAAACTGGTTTCATAGCATCTGCTTGTCAGGAAAAGTATTAACAGTTGTACAAACTGATGGCGATATCTATGGACTTTTAAGGAAATCGGCAAACCTAGCTAGTTTTTATTATTGGCATTTTAATATCAGAATGTTAGTGAGAAGAAGAAAAATAAACTTTTAGATATCAATCTGCACATATGATGGACATCGGTTCTGATCATTTTTGGTATCTCATTTGAAGGCATCTTGAGTAAAACAGCTCCATATTTAATGAAGCACATACAAAAGACAGGAGTTTGTTGTGCATAACCCCCATTGAGTTGTTAATTTTTACAAATGTCTTATTTCAGCTAATTACTATAAAGTTTGATATTATATTTTTGTATAATGTTTATTATTATTATTACTTATTTTCTTTTTGCCTGGAGTTTGCAGCTTTAAGATCCAAAAACAAACTTACTTGGCAGTTTTCATGGACCCTTTCTGGTTTGGTGGATTTTGGAATTGTCACAACCCCATTCTGAAAAGAAATGTAGAGCTAAATGAATGTATGACATTATAACTGCTGCTTCTAAATTGCATTTGTATGACATTCTGGAAAAGATAATCAAATTAAATCAAAACTAACAGCTGGAAGATGATCATGCATCATACAGATGCATTACTGTAATGTGTAACAGATCGATGTTTCACAAATATTATGAAACTATACAATGTTACAGTCTTACAGTTGTAAGCTACGCGACTCATAACCAGCTTTGAGTTTACTTTCATAGGAAGAGTAACAGGTCTTAAGTTCGCATCCGGCTTCGCTACTGTTCGGACGTTCTTGCTTTTTATGTAAAGCACTTTGAATTACCATTGTGTATGAAATGTGCTATATAAATAAACTTGCCTTGCCTTAAGTTAATAGCAGACAGTCATTTCAACTTTACAGGTTGAGGATGAGTAGATGATTTTCATTTTTGGGTGAACTATTCCTATAAACAGCTGGTGAGGATCTACTGAAAAGCAAACTGTACCTGAATACTCCAGCGGATGCATATTTGTGACGCGCTGCGGCCGTATTTTTGACCTTTGGGCTTGACCTTTGGCCAAAGTGACAATAGCCTTCAAAAACGATATTCTCCTTCCGGCAATATTCAACCAGCTCCAGTGGCTGCTGGAAGGGATGAAACTCCACCTCCAAGTAAATCAAACACAGTGCCAAGTTTAACTGTATTTGTAGTTACTGCATTGAAAAATAGAACATATTGATTTTCAGAACATTGTAAATGTACAAAAGCTTATAGGATTTCACTATAATACAGTGTAGAAAATAAACATTGTATTGGTGTTATGGAGAATAAAGATAATCATTATATTGTAAACTGCATTATTCTTTATACATAAAGCTAAATGAGGACCTAACACATTCCTTTTATCTTTTTTTTATGAAGTTGTGTTGTTTTATTTAATTTAATTGTATATGTTTTATTATTATTATTTTTTTAATTGTCTACATATCTTTATTTCATCTTGATGTGATTTCTTTTTAAAATTTGAAGAGTTGTGACAAAGTCGTTACTCTCAACCATTCATTCAGCCAAACCTGGTTAACATGAGGCACAATTCCACCACGATCCTTCAACTCGTTCAAGTGATGAATTAGAAAGTTACTCACTCCAATGGCATGACACAAACCTGCAACAAGAGAAGGGACATTACCTGCACACTGCTTGTGTTAGTCATTTCTAAACTGTAGCATGAACCTAAAAGAGCATAAACCTTCATCATAAAGCTCCTCTAAAGCTCTCCACGTCTCTGCTCGCACCTCACGACTGGAGACGCCTGGAACCATGCAGTCCGGCCAGTGATTCAGAGCTGTTTACAAAGTAATCTATCATTTGAGGTCCGTGTGGCACTTTCTGAGCATGTCACACATTTACCTAAATAATCAACCCCCAGCCTTGCACACGAGTCCCGGCAGGCTTGTTTGGCGCTCTGGTAGCCGTAATCTCCAGGCCATAGTTTGGTGGTGAGCCAGAGCTCCTCTCGTGGTACTCCACTATCAACCACAGCTTTCCCCAAAGCCTCTTCACAACCGTAACGCTTGGCTGTGTCTATATGCCGCACTCCGTGAAATACACGTGAAAGACGCATATTTGACGTGTTGTTGACGTGTAAAAATTCAGTGTTTTTGGCACCTTTGGCCTTCCATAAAACTGCGTATCACATGCACGCCAAGAAATTGCATATCATATGCACGCCAAAGTCAATTTTTGCGTAAAAAGACCGGGCTCTTATAAATCTAGTGACAATAAAGAGATTTGACACTGCTAAACTGTACTCTTTACCAGTAACGTTTTGTGTATACGTTTGGTGTCACTAACAAAAAAACAAACAAGAGCCATCGATAATGTCAAATCGCACATCGTTAAAACAACAATTACGATATTATCGCAGACGATATATAGGCTATCGCACACCCCTAGAGCCACGGCAATATTACTACCAAAACACTTAATGACGACTGCGTCAGACTGACTTCCTCACGGTCACTTATGTTAACAAGCAGTGAGTAGAAGCATTGTGTTGCTGCATGTTAATGTCATGAATGAGCTTGTTCTCACCTAAACCCAGATTGGGAATGTTTCGTCCATTGGACATCGGTACAGTAGGGCATGACAGCGCAGTGCAGCTGCTGGGAACCGTAACCATATTGTAGTGTGCGTGTCATGTGCTCTGGAGACCCTTAATACATTACAAAAAAAACAAAAAAACATTCGAGGTGTAATCATTGACGAAAACCCTTTGCACTCACGATCACACTCTGCAGGAACGAATATTTTCAACGAACCGCTTCACGGAAACGAGTCGGTCAGCGTTCACTATAAGATACTCAGTGCGCCTAGTGTTGAGTCGTTCTTGAACGATTCGTTCGTTTTGAACGAATCCTTAATGTGACTCGGGAAGAACGAGTCGTCTCGGGGAGTAATTAATCTTTTCTGTTTCTTATTGCAGTTTTGTATTGTTTGTAGTGTGATCAACGTTTGCGTAAGTAGTAGACATATTAGGGAAGTAACACGTAACATTTTAATTATATTTTGTTAAAATGAACGAAATGACTCGAAAAAAGATTCGTTCATTTTGCTGAACGAGACTCAAAGGTCCGAGTCGGTAAAATGATCCGAACTTCCCATCACTGCGCCTGCGCGAGAAAGTAAACTTCCTTCTGGAGTCTCACATGATGGGAAAACCATGAGGTACGTGTTGCTTTGTCTTGTTACAGAATGTAAATCTAATCATGCTTGTTTGTTTATTTCCTACATGCATGCGTTAAATCGTCGCATGCAGTTCCAGCCTTCAAAAAGGCGGGGCATAGAGAAACAATAATGTACAGTATGTGGAAAATAATGTGTTTTTTTAACTTTAAACCGCATAAACACATTTCATTACACCAAATACACAAAATAATGTTCTTTTTAGCAGCATCATATGACCCCTTTAATCAAATTATTTATGAGTCACGCAATAATGCAAGTAAACTATTGACATGCATATGTTAGCACATTTTTCTTTAGTGTGTTTGCTCGATATAGAACTTTTTATTTGGGCTATTAAACAACAACTTTTAATGCATCTGGAACTTTTGAGAATAGAACCTGCAAAGAGATGGTGGCAGTGAAATTGTATGATAGTGCACAGTGATTTATCTACCTTTAATAATAATGCTTCCCCCTTTTAATAAATTCAGCCAATGAATCCAGACATTGATAATTCTGTAAATACCATTATGGTCAATGTAAAAATGTGGAAAGCATTTTTGAAGGAATAGTTCATCTGAAAGAAAAATTATGTCACTATTAACTTTTACGTCATTCCAAAACTTTATGATTTTCTTTATTCTGTGGAACATAAAATGAGATGTTTTGCAGAATATGCACATTGCTCTATCCCATATATATATATATATATATATATATATTATAGGAGCCTGATAAATGTTTTGGCACACACAAGCAAAACTGAATGGGGGGAAAATCAATCAAAATCACACCAATAATCAAAGTAAAATATTTAAATTGCAAGCTGATCCAATGTGCATGAATTTCATCAAAGCAACTCCTAATGTAAGTCAGTAGTGTGTATGGCCCCCACGTGCCTCTATGCACTCCTGACAATGTCTGGGCATGCTATTCTCCTGTCATCAGGATTCATTGGTGCTGCTGCAGGTCATTGGGCCGTGTTCGGACACACTTCATCATCGCCTTTATACTGTTGCTGCTTCTGGCTGGAGTCTCTCTGGCCTTCTTATTGCCTAACAATGAGGACAGCAGCATTCTCTGAGAGCTCCGTCAAAGCTCCAACAACTCACTAACCCTGCCGGACCCTGAGGATAGTTTTACTATAATTATGCAAACGTACAACCGCACTGATATACTCCTCAAGCTCCTCAACCATTATCAGGCTGTGCCTCACCTACCGTGCATCATTATAGTGTGGAACAACCCTAGTGAGTCGCCGCCCAGGAAACTGTGGGACGCCTTCGGCCCACACCCTGTGCCCGTCATCTTTAAAGAGCAGAGCGTCAACAGAATGCGCAATCGCCTGCAGCCGCACACTGAGATCAAGACTGATGGTAGGTGTGTGATTAGAGTTGGGGTACTCGAACTTGGACTCGGACTCGAGTCCAATTTTGAATGAACTCGGACTTGTCACGCACTCGGGTGAATTTGTACTCGGACTTGACACGGACTTGAACATTTTGGACTCGGAAAATATTCCGAGTACAGTCGAGTCCGCGTCATGTGTAACAATAAAACCAGCATAAAATTGAGATGAGAAATTAATTAATGTCTCCCCGTCTGTCATTTTACTGCACCACACCGGCAGGCAGCAGTAGCATATCATCTTATGCTTGCAGACGAAACACACACATCACTCACTGGATATCAATGTGTGGCTGTTGGTTGATCAGGTGAAAGATTCAATTAAAAGGAAGCTCCAGACCCAATCATCTGTGTCCATAACTGCTGACATATGGTCTGATCGAACCATGCGGTCCTTCTTCGGTGTTACAGCCCATGGATTAAACCAAGATGGAAATCAGCTGGAGTCCTTTCTTTTAGACTGTAGGAGGTTTTGTGGCAGACACAGTGGAGACAACATAGCCATGGCATTTGACGAGATCATTGATGAATATAACATAGCAAGTAAAGTCAGGTACATTATTACTGATAATGCAGCCAATATGAAGTGTGCATTCAAAGTCAAGCTACCACAGGAAGAGCAGCACAGTGATGGCAGTGATGCAGAAGAGGAAAACTTAGATGATGAGAGTCTTTGGGAGGATGTGACCTGGGAAGACGAGACTATCATGGTGAGAACAAGACAAAGGCTGTCATGTTTTGCACATTCTCTGCAATTAGTTGTACATGATGGAATGAAAGAAGCCAAGGCCTTTTCTTCAGCACTTGCCAAAATGTCAAAATTAACCTCATTACTTCACACAAGTACTACATTTAAAGAACGATTTGAGGCTACATTTGGGACAGATAGATCAATTCCTGCAGCTACATCCACACGCTGGAACAGTACATTCAAGCAGCTACAGGCCCTTACAGCACTTGACCATAGGGATCTCACACAAATTTGCAGTTCAGACTTTCAACATGTTCTTTTTTCAGTTCGTGAATGGAATCAACTGAAGGATTTAGGTTCTGTTCTCTTTCCTTTTGCGGAAGCAACAGACCTTACAGAGGGTGAGAAAATGGTCACTATTAGTATGGTGGTCCCCACTGTACTTGATTTAAACACTCATCTGCTCCAAATATCAGAGTCACGAAGTCATTGCCGGCCACTAGCCACAGCCCTTCGGCAATCACTTTTAAAGAGATTCTCTGGGATCTTTGTGAGAACCAAAATGGTTGAGCAAAATGGGAAAGAGGACCAGTTCAACCATAATGTCTATTTCTTGGCAACAATGCTTGATCCTCAGTTTGGCCTGAACTGGGTTGATCTAGATGTAACCAACAATGAGAGTCCAGATTCGGTGAAGAAATTCAGAGAGGATCTGAAAAGAACACTTATAGGTAATTCATTTTATTTGCTTTAATAACCTAAAAATGATTTGTCTGCATTTTATTCTGAAGCAAACTTCTTATTTGTCTACTATATACTCTGTATACTGCAGAGCATAAAAATATGCAGTAGGCATACAATAATGGTCCTTAGGTCCCTAAATCCAAATGCATTTTAACGTGTGTTATTTGTGCATGTTTCATATTTTTCAGATACTTTGACTGCAGAAGTTGAGGCCACAGCAGATGGAGACATGCTGCATTCTGGAGGTGATGCTGATGAAACCACAGATTCTCCTCCTGGCAAATGCCCACGACTTCTAGCTCGCTATCGAGCCCACAAGCACCTGAGCCACTCAGCTAAGGATGCATGCATTTCAGCTCAGATACACAAGTACTTTGATGCCATTCAAGACACAGACACAAATACAGCACTTGAATTTTGGTCGACAAACAGGGAGAGATTCCCACAGCTTTACTCTCTGGTTGTAAAAGTGCTGTCTATTCCAGCATCCTCTGCACCAGTAGAGCGTGTCTTTAGCAAAGGTGGCCTCATCGTGAGACCACATCGTGCACGCTTAACTCATAAAATGGTCACAGCGCTTGTATTTTTGAAAAGCAATATGGCCCTGGTTTAGTGCTTGACTGTGCACTATAGTACATTTCATGTTCAGTGTTCATTACAACTCATGTTACAAGACCAGAGAGCTGTGTTCAGAAAGGAGTTTGTTGTTGATTAAGCACCGTAATAAAGCTTTAAGTTTGTTGTTATGACTAGCTGATAGATTTAAACTCTAGTCTGAGTATTTCCTCAGCCTATTTAAATGTGGGGGAGAGGCATTAAATAATTGAAATGTCAGCTTTAACTGGAGGACAATATAGTGTGATACAATAATAAAACAGGTTCATTTGTATTTTCATGCACTTGTAATACAATAAAAGTTCTACATATACCCTTCTTTTCTTTGAAACCTTTTTTGATAGGAAACTAGTTCTGTTGACATAAAATAAAAATGTTCAATGGCAATGACAAGATGTAATAGTGGTATTTTTTATTACATTTTTATATTGCCATTGGTTTAATGGGTTGAAAGGTTAAAATATTAATAGAATGTAAAAATTTACAATACCAATTTATAATCTTTTTTAATTTAATTACTTTCTGGACTCGGGCGGACTCGACTCGGACTCGGCCTTTAAGAACTCGGACTTGAGTCCAACTCGGCCCCTTTTGGACTCGGTCTCGGACTTGGACTTGATGTTTAAGGACTTGGTCTTGACTCGTACTCAACAAAGGTGGACTCGGACCCAACTCTATGTGTGATTCTTACATGAACGAGGTGATTTGACAGATAGTTGACCCAAAAATGTTCCAAAAACATATGACTGACTTTCTTATCCCAATCGCTTTTTTGTATTTAGGGCCAATGACATATAAGAGTGCACGCCATAATAAAATAAATAATCTATTAAAATGTAAATTAAAAAATTTTTTTTTTTTTAACACAGATTTAGACAGATTTGTGAACAATATTTGAGAGAAATAGGCCTTTTGTGTACATAGAAAAAGTCTTAGATCTTTGAGTTTCAGCTCATGACAAATGGGGGCAAAAACAAAAGTGTTGCGTTTATAATTTTGTTCAGTATATATATATAAAGAATTGTAATTTTTGGGTAAACTCTCTCTTTATGTGATGATTTCATTACGACTGTATTCAGTCGACTGTGGTGTTGTCTGTGAGACTGTACTGACCGTCACTATCTTTCACATGGGCAGCTGTTTTGATGCTAGATGATGACACGTTGATCAGTGTTCCTGATATCAGCTTTGCATTTTCTGTCTGGAAGGTAATGAATTTTCTGTAATGGAATGTAATAGGAAACTTCATCTGTGCTTTACTTGAGTTTTAAATGCTGTTTCAAATTCTCTCTTCAGAGACACATACCCTAAATATTATCATTCTCTCTCTCTCTCTCTCTCTCTCTCTCTCTCTCTTTTTTGTGTGTTCTAGCAATTTGTGGATCAGATTGTGGGTTTTGTTCCACGGAAGCATGTGACCACAGCATCCGGTGTGTACAGCTACGGCAGCTTTGAGCTTCAGGATCCAGACAAAGGTGGAGGCGACAGGTGAGACTGGGAATAATGCAGCATTTCCAGGTTAATGCGAAAGTGTAGTCACAATGTTGACATGAAACCAAAACTGACCTACTTAATTTTTTAATACATGTTCCAGGACTTATTGGGCATGAGTCATTGGTGCACGTTATTCTGAAGAAAAAAGACTCCCTTTGCTTCTGAAACAAAATTTTTTCCTTTTGCTCTTTTATTTTTCATCCCTTTTGACTCCAACCACCTGCCATATAACAAACAATCCAATCAGTTCCTGACAGATAAGGTCGAAGGTCAATGACATGTTCATTTTTGTCCTATCTATAAATGTATTCAGACATACAAAACGTAAAATAGGAAATGATGTCATTGAGAGGATCCCTGTAGGCCATTGTGATGGTGTCAAGGTCAGTAAGTCTCTTCAAATCGAATAATTTGATCTTTTTATGTCAAGCTAAAGTTAGTTCAGGTTGGTAAATGCCATGTGGTGCGACTCCCCATGAATTTATCAATAAATAATATCTGCAAAGATGGGTTTACCTTAAAAAAAGTAATTCAGTGGACTCTTCTCTTGAAAGTTGTACAAAGATTTTAGAAACCATTTAAAAACCATGAATGTAAAGAGTACATTTCTAATGAATTTTAAACAGGGCTGATATTGCTAACTACAAAAATAAAACGGACAAAAATTCAATATAACTATTATATAAAAAGATAAATATTATTAATGAAAATTAGAAATGTTGCCTTGGCAACTTACTGAAATAAATTGAAGTACTAAAATTATTAAAACTAAAACTGAAATTAAAATAAAGCTCAATATAATAATAATTAAAAAATGACAAAACCACTTAACAAAATTAAAGTATAAACTAAAATTTTAAAAAGCTGAAGAAATAAAATTACTAAAACTAAAATTAATCTAAATATAAAACTCCCAAAACTAATGAAAATGACAAAAGCACAGCACACTTTTTTTTTTTCGTTTTAGAAATTTTAAGTACTAAAATGACTAAAACTAAAACTGAAATTAAAATAAAACTAAATATAAATATTTATATTATAATATTTATATATTATAATATTTTAAAGAGCCCAAAAACTAATAAAAATGGCAAAAGCGCTCAACAAAATTACTAAAAAAAAAATTATAATAATAATAATTATATATATATTAAAGGAAATGGTATGAATTTGGTGAATATGATAAAACAGTAAATCTAAAACTGCATGCATGTTCTCAGTTTTAGGTTATTTGCTGAATGCCGTGTGCGGTTTTGTGCAGACTTATTCATTTAGCAAGTTCATTGTGGACAGTCTTACGTTATTGACTCATATATCATATTATGAATGTTAAATGTGCAGCTTTGCAATACAGCAGAATAAGTGTCATTTTATGGTTCCTTTAGGTATTCAATGATCCTGGTGGGTGCAGCGTTCTTCCATCGTCGCTTCCTGCAGCTGTTCCAAGAGCAGCCGGGTGAAGTACACACTCTGGTCGACCAAACGCAGAATTGTGACGACATCGCCATGAACTTTGCCGTGGCACGTCAACTCTCACAGGTGTCCGGACTCAAGCGGGGTGTTCGGGAAGCCCGTAGACATGCGGAATCTGGAGAAGGAAGCCAGCAGCGGGTATGTGGGCATGTGGCACAGAGCGGAGCACATGCTGCAGCGCTCCTACTGTCTCAAACAAGCTGACACACATCTACGGGAACATGCCGCTCCGCTACTCCAATATCATGATCTCCCAGTTTGGCTTCCCTAGCTATGCTAATCACAAGAGCAGGATATGATGTCAGCACATTTGAGAGACAGACAGGAACAGTCTCAATTAAGAGATATTGGATCATCCTTTTTGGACAAATCATCTCAAAATGTACACATCTCAACCAAAACCCTTTTGTCAAAAGTTTGACAGAATTTTGAAATTCACTGATGGTTTTATCTGACGGCCTATATATACACATTATAAATTAATTTTATTTTATAATATATTGCCCTGCTATTATTTGTCTTGTATAGCTCACATATGTCCAGTAGATGGAGTATGCAATTTAGTGCCTTCACCAATACAGTACAATATTAGTGCTTTTACCAACATTGTATAATGAAGTATCATTATAGGGTGGTTGTGTACACACACTGCCAACACACATTTCAGTTCAAACAACTTGTAAAAGTGCATGTAGAATTTTTTTTTTTTAGTTGAGCTAATTATTAAGCTGTATTATTTTGAATCATACTAATAATTATTAATATTAAAAGGGGAAATTATAGAAAGTATTTACTTTTAATAAAAATAATTTGCTACTCATAAAATATAATTCAAAATACTACAGCATCATAATTAACACTTAAACCGTGATGAAAAAAATCTGCAAAACTCCAGCAGACCATCTACATTATATTTCCTTTTATTTATTTTTTAAAAATTTGTTTTCATATTTACTTATGAATAATTCTGAATAAAAGAGTATAATAGTATAATTTTGTGGTAACCAGTCATTAAAATGTTTTTTATTCTTTTTAACACACTGGTTTTACTTCATGATCCAGATTTTCATTGGATTTACCAAGCAGCGACCCAACACAGTACCACAATTGTTTAATGAAAGTAAAAATTGAAATGAATATCACTTTAAACTACACAGGATCTGCAATATAAAATCATTTATTTAGCAGTGGCTACATGGAGAAATAATGAAAGTACATAAAAGAATAAACACCAGTAGATGTGTGATTTACACATTTTGACTATTGCAAAAGGAGCCAAAATATAATATGCCAAGATACATTTCCTGAGAACAAAGCTGAATCCTGTTATTAGAACATCTTGTATTGAGAAGGGGTCAAAGCGACAGCATAACACTTTTGGTGAAACCATTTATGCTTCCTTTAAAAGGAAGCACAAAGTTCACATAATGAAACTGTTTGATGAATTCACTTTTACTTTTGATTTGATGCGTTCAGAAGCAGAACACAAACCGTGTGTGTTATTCTTGTATCCCCTGGAGGAACACGGTCTATGTGCTATAAAGGAAATTATTTGCTGTCGCAATGTACCTAGTAACATCTATATATCTGAAAATATGTTTAGACAATCCAAACTGGATCCAACCCACAGTTTACAGTATTTTCTTATTCCTTTTCCCCTTCAAACTCTGTTTTGATAAAGTTCCACTTAAAAACTACATTGTTGGTGGGGAATTTAGCCCTACAATGAGAAATTCATGTTTTAATGCAAGAATGTGCATTCCTGAGATACGCAAAAATACACGGCAACATTCATATTTATAAAAACCACGTCAGGGTCTGAGCAGAGGTACGCACTTTTGTTTGCCCGAGTGCTGCAGGTTTTTGGAAATATAAGCCATTCTTGCCGCTTGTAAAAGATTTGGACATTGTCAGGTGCTCTTTTATAAGTCAAGGACATTAATTAGACATTGTTTACAGGGCGGAGATCTGAAACTGTTCAGCTGCGCACAGTTTCAAGATCATTGCAATTTATAGATTTCATATCTAAAAGAGAGGCGTACGCACGTTTTCTGTGCGTACGTTCGTTCTATGAATCACACGTACGCACTTTGAGAAATGATCGTAAAATCAAATTTAGGATTCTTTCTACGCAGTATTTTATAAATGAGGCCCCTAGAGTGCTGGATCAGGAATGGAAGTTCCCGAAGAAATTGTGTGCTTGATAGACTGATAACAGAAACAGGAAGAGAATGAACAATGCCTGTAACAATTAACAGGTTAAGTAAACCCAAAACTATTGTTGTATTGTTTTTGGAGGAAAAGGAAAAGTCAGCATGCTTCTTTTTTTTTTTTAAAGGAGTTTCCTTTTAACTGTGCCAAAATTTCATTTGAATTTAAATGAAATGGTATGAATTTGGTGAATATGATAAAACAATAAATCTGTAAAACTGCATGCATGTTCTCAGTTATAGGCTACTTGCTAAATGCTGTGTGACTTATTCATTTGGCAAGTTCACAATCTACTTCTGCTTCTCAAAGGAGTTGGATATTTTATCATAAGTTTGAAGTTTTTATATATATATATATATATACCCCAAACTTTGGAAACTGTTTACAATGTTAATAATAATAAGAAATGTTTTTTGAGCACCAATTCATTATTGCTCATTATTACCAAAACATTATTGCTGTTTTTACCATATTTTTAATCAAATAGATGCAGCCTATGTGAGAACTTTGTGAGACGTCTTTCAAAAACATAAAAAAAAATGTTTTTAGTGTAACTATACACTGTATTTTGAGATGATGTATTTTGATCGATCAAATATTAATTTGATAAAATAACACCGTTAGGCACAAAATTACTAAATAAATACAGAAAACACAGCTTTGTATTCACCTGTCCGTAAGCTTTTTATAGATAATGTCCAGGTGAATGTTCCTTTCAGCAGAAAAACACTTCATTTAGTTAATGTGCTCTTCATCTGTTTAGCCGAGTGTACTGGAGTCGCTCCTGGCTTTCTTTCTGCAGTGTCGGATCAGCAGTCCAGCAGCGGTCAACAGCGACACTGACCCCACAGCCGGCAGTATGGCGACGGGCAGGTCTGGATTTCTCGAGATGCTATGTTGTGCTGGATTAAAAGAGTAAAGGATCATCAGAGTCAAGAAACATCACTGCAACTAGAATATTCCATACTCGCTGAATAAGCTATGATTAGTGCTATAATTTCAATATAGCCACAGCTAAAGGGTGTTGTAGATATTTTTATTATTTTATAATCATGTATAATTTATTTGCTAAAAAAAAAAAAATCCACTTTTTTTTTTTTTTTTCTGCAACTGTTTTTTCTGGAAGTGACTATTTTGTTCTCTTGAACACACTGAATGGAAATGCTGCTTTATCAAAAGTTTTTTTTCTTCAATATTCATAAATGAAATTTCACACATTTCTGGAAAACTGGTTAGAGGTAGAGTTAACTAGGGTATTCCAGAAAGCAAGGTTAACTTAGCGGCAAAGACATATACCCTGAACTCTGTTGATTAACCCATAACTCGCTTACTTGAGGTAAGCCGGGTACAAAACCAGTAGTAAGTTTGGTCAAACTTTGGATACTAGTAACAGCTTACTAGTAACACACAAGACACCAAATTCAAGGAGTATGGCAAGCTGTTTTAACGTAAAATGTTCCCAGTAACGATTACACTTAGACATTTCTGTAATTTCTACAGTTATTTACTGTATATCACCCAGTATAATACTGCAAATTCCTTTTACAGTAAGTAACTGTAATGCCCTTTGCATCATGGGAATTTTATGTGACGTCAAACTCCACATACAGAGACTTACTGTATTTTTTTTAAATTGCTGTATACTACTGTATTTGCCGTAACGGCCTCTGTGGCGCCATTCCATTGAGGTTGTTTTATTTTCCTCATTTCTTACATTTGGATTGGCAAGATTTGCCCTGCACCATGTCTACAACGCCGCAACAGTTTGGGACAGACTATACTGGACGTGTTACATCGCTTGTAATGATTGGCAAATACATTTGTCCTGCGTGTCAGAAACAGCGTGAGCGCTTGGAGTACTACTGTACGTCAGAAATATACGGGGGCATCAGTTTACTGTCCGCATCCATTGTAGATAGTATCGCTGATTATAATGGGTTCTATATTGTCTTTTGTCGCGTCGCGCTGTGCCACTCGCATCCGAGGAAGACACGGAACCGACAGGGCAGCGCCACGGGTTTTGCCCGGGGATGAACCCGCGAGAGTGGAAGAGTTCTGGAGAACATCTGCACTGTGTATCGATGCACCTTACGAGAGAATTAGACCAGCAAGCAAGGTAAAAATATATGTATGTCTGTGTGTGTGTGTTTTGTCAGATTTTTGCTCACCAGTTAACATTTACCCCGTTAACATAGAGGAAACTTTACCAAGCTAAACTGCGCTGTCCTTTCAAACGACTTTGTCAGCATATTGAATTAACGTACCGAATTAAAATTATTTTTAACGAGCAATGCTTATCTTATATTAACATTAAGTTAACTAATGTGAAATTTTGTTCAGGTGTTAGTTAATGTTGGCCAGTACAGTAGCCTATTGAGAAAATAAAATCATTAGCTAGGTTAAACTATGGCTAGCTGCCGTAGTTTTAGAATTAGTTTGTTATAGTTTTTAATGGAATTTAAGTTTTAATGCATTTTTTTTGTATTTGTGTTTTAAAGGCAACTACACTGGAGCATCAAGAAAGACATGAGCATGCCAACCACCCTGAGACTGATAATTCGGGTAAGAGAACAACTAAGTTATGGTTTTGAGAGGTTTGTGTATTCTGTATGGGGTTTGCCTTTTAAAAGTGTGTCATTTCTACTTCTTGTTTTTCAGGGAACACATTTCTGTCACTAACAAAGTGGATGGTGAGCAAAGGTGGTGGCCACGTTTTGGAGCAGTACCTGGGTTTTGCAGACGGCTATGTATTTCTTTTCCCATTATGTTTCTGTTGCCTAAAGATTCTTTGTGAGGATAAATCCAGAGAATACAACATAATGCACTGCAAAATGTCCTAAGACAGGAGAAATGGTGAAGATGAACTGTTCCAGCATTGGAAGACTGTATTTTTAAGTGTTATACATGCAATGTTTTAAATAAAGTATTTGATATTTTGCAATTATTGTCTGTTTTAATTGAATGCCAGTAGTACATACAGTATGTAGGATAAAAACAAAATGAATTCTATATAAAAAAATATAAAATCAAATGAAATCTATATTAAAATGAATGAATTACAGTAGTATACTGATGAATTAGATTTTTTTATAGTAATTTACTGTAAAACAGTACAGTTTGCTACTGTAAATCTTAATTACAGTAAATTGCTGGCAACAGTGTTGCCAGTAAGTTACTGTAAAAACACTTTGAAATGTCTAACTGTGTACATTTGAGAGCAATACTCTTACTACTAGCAATTAT